CTAAAGCCCTCGATTAAGCCCGGGAACCTTATCACGAGGATAAGTACCGGTCTGGAAATGGATCGAACTAGCTCGTAGTTCCCCGAATTGATCCCCGCTCCCCTAGCTGGTTACATATTGTACAGTGAGTATGACAAGTAGAGACCAGATACGCTAATTGCTGAGCCGGCACTAATAAGATGCCGGACTTCGCTCCCCGTAGTCTTGTCTTTTCTATTTTCTTTCCCTTCCTTTCTCTTCCTCTTCTTCCTCTTTCCTTTCCTTCCTTCCCTAATTCTATCCGCCCGTCCGCCAGTCCCCACTTCCATCTGCACTGTTCACACGCTTTCTATTTATCTCTGCCATCCTTCCTTGGCCCAACCCTTCGATATCGCTGTTTGCATTGTTGTACAGCATCTTAAAATCATCCTTTTGCACTTTTAGCTGCACCTTTCACTCCAGTTTTCTACACTACGGTATCACCCTTATCTTATCGATAAGCACCCTCACATTCAAGCTAAACAAAAAGGAAAAAAAAAAAAAAAGGAACGAAAGGCTTGACTATTAGTCAAGCCATACGAAAAACACGTGATGGCTCCCCCGTCAATGAATCTACCGAGCTATCCGGATGCAGGCGTTCACACCGTTACCGATACATCCGCTGTTGAGTCTCCCAGCGCGCTTACCTGTGCCGGAGTTCCGGCGAGGAGGTTGAAGAGTGGAGCTTTTAATGGGGGGGTTGCGGCGGCGACTGGTTCGGAGTTTTTTAAATCTAAGGTCTGTCTTGATCACTGTGTTCGGAGGTGGGATGGAGCGGGCCGGGAAGAGGCTGACTGGGGGCTATGGTAGCTGTTGTGGAAACCTTTGGCAAAGAAGTGGGATCGTGAGTCCCTGTTGAGGAATAGGGGACGAGAGGTAGAGTAGGAGGCTAATTGGGACTGGGGGGGCGCATTAGATCGTCTGAGTCAAGAAAGCAAGTCTCGTAAAGGTTCTAGCTTGAAAGATGCCGCAAAGTATCTCGCGAAGCCAGGTACGCCACCTTCCCCTCTACCTTGCTTTCCTGGTCCCCCGCCATGGTAGATGAAATGACAGCTACGACTCACAGTGCAATAATGCGGTTATAGGGCTTATCTCTCTTGGTGGGGGGCTTCCGTCGAGTGACTACTTCCCGTTCGAGCATATTGAGGTTAGAGTTCCCACCGTCGGCCAGTTCTCCGAAGAGGAGACCAGGATTACTGGGCAGAATCTCAAGATTGGCAAACACGATGTGACGGAGGGGAAGTCCGCCTTCGATCTTGCGATTGCGCTTAACTATGGGCAGGGAACGGGCTCCGCCCAGATGTTGAGGTTCGTTACGGAGCATACGGAGGTGAGGGTCCTCTTTGTGTTCTCTTTTTTGGTGTTGTGTGGGGCTGATGGATAGAATGCGGTGGGATGGGTAGATCGTTCACAACCCGCCGTATCAGGATTGGCAATGTATTGTCGATGTGGGGAGTACCTCTGGACTGGAAATGCTGTATCGCATGTTTTGTGAGCGTGGGGACTACGTGATTTCGGAAGAGTACACTTTTGCTACAGCCGTTGAGACTGCTGCACCGCTAGGCGTCAAGTTCCTTGGTGTTAAGATTGATAGTGAAGGGCTTCTACCGGGGGACCTCGACCAACTGCTAGAGAATTGGGATGAGAAGGCCCGCGGGGGGCGGAAGCCATTCGTATTGTACACCGTCCCGTCAGGCCAGAATCCCACAGGCTCAACCCAAGGCAGATCGCGCCGCGAGGAGATCTACAAAGTCGCTCAAAAGCACGACCTACTTATCATCGAAGATGAGCCCTACTATTTCCTGCAGATGCAGCCCTACACGGGCCCCAATACACCCCCAACCCCGCTCCCAGCAACCCACGAGGAATTCCTCAATTCACTTGTCCCCTCGCTCCTAAGAATGGACATAGACGGCCGTGTGATCCGCATGGACTCCTTCTCGAAGGTAATATCCCCAGGAGCCAGGTTTGGTTGGATAACGGCCACATCTCAAATTTGCGAACGCTTCGTCCGTCACTGCGAAGTCTCAACGCAGAATCCCTCAGGATTCTCACAGGTCGTTATCCACCGCCTGCTAGACGAGCACTGGGGCCACACCGGCTACCTAGACTGGCTAATCTTCATTCGCAAAGAGTACACCCAACGCCGAGACATCATCCTCCAAGCCTGCGAGAAGTACCTGCCCAAGGAGCTCGCAAGCTGGAACCCGCCAGCAGCTGGGATGTTCCACTGGATCAAGATTGCAGTGGAGAAGCATCCAGAGTTTGGAAAAAGGGAGATTATTGAGATCGAAAATGATATCTTCCAGGCTAGCGTTAACGAATGCGTCCTTATGTCCCCGGGCAGCTGGTTCGCTGCGGAAAGGGACGTTAAGCATACCGGGCTGTTTTTTAGGGCCACTTTTGCGGCTGAGGCGGTTTGTCGACCATTGCACTTTTAGGTGGTGAGGGGAATTTTTTTGCTAATATTACTGGTTTTAGGGACCGGACATGACCGAGGCGATTCGTAGGTTCTCAATTGCACTCAAGAAGGTGTTTAAGTGGGAGGAGGGTAAGTATAGTATATAAGCGTGTGAGCGCGATCAAATCCCTGCATCATAGCAGGAGTATGCATGTCTAGGCCGCTATCCCAAAGGGTACCCTTTTTTTTTTTGAAGGGTAAATACCGTATTTGTACATCGACCTTTGTGGTTTCGGCAAAGCCTACATAGTAGTGCTTAGAGCAAATCCCTATGATAGCCGCACCAACTATCACTGATAAGTTCCACGATTTCTAACGTCCCGATACTCTATTCGTATGTGTCCGGTAGCTAATCACATCGCCGAACACCCGAGTCCCTGCCGTCTATATTGCGCCCCACTGCGCTTAATTCCGGGGCCCGTATGATATCATACGACTACCGTAAGCCAGTCAAGCCACACTACTACAATGCCACATTGCCACAATACCATATCTAAGCAAGAGATATCGTAGAATGTGCCGCCCTGCGAGTGAGGTTGAGCAAAGTCACACATTAAGGTAAGTTAGAAGAAAAAAGAAAAAAGAAAACACAAAGTAGAGAAATGTGAAATGAAAATAAGAAGGATGTAGAATACAAAGAAGGAATATCGTACTTGTACTCGGGTACAAGGGTAAGTCGGGCGCGGTCGCACAAAGGACTGAGCCTTTGAGACATTATTAACTAAGCAGAAATAAAATGTGAAGTGCCTGAAGGAAATGAGTATACCACCATATAAACAACTATACCTGACTACTATATAAGTGACACAATCACTCACTCAACACCTCCTCTCCCTGCTACCAAGAGAAAGAAAAAAGAAAAAAAAAAATGAAGATGAAGAGAACTTGTAAACCACTACCGCCAGGTAAAAGGCATTTGGAGACTACGCAAGATAACCGGATCAAGGTCATCTCGCTACGGGATAGTGTTGGCTGGAACTGGTCACGCATAAGAGCTGAGCTTAATATCAATCGTCGGACTTGTCAAAAGGTGAGTGGCAAGGATTTTCTACTGCAATTTAGTACTAAGAGAAGTCTAGATCTGTAAACGTGTGAAGAAATACCGTACCCTCTTAAATCAGAAATGGTGTGGCCAGCCTCCTATTTTCGATGAAGCAGAAATTGTCTGGCTTGTCGCCTTTGTAACATGAGATGCTTCAACTGGGTGTCTATCATGGGATGCAATTGTGTTGGAGATGAATTACGCCTGTTCACCAAGGACTGTTAAGAATGTGATAGAGAAACTGGGGTATCACAAACGAATACCACTACGGAAATTCAATATCTGGTCAGCTAATAAGCCCAAACACATTGAATGGTACCAAGAAAGACTCAACTGAACCTATGAGGAGTGGAGATGAGTTTTATGGACCGATGAATCGACCTTTTCAACAACATGATTTGGCCATGGCCTGTAAGTTATTCACCTGCCAGAGGAAGAGTTCCACATTAACTGCATCAATGAGAACTTTCAGCAGGACTGAGGCTCAACCATGGCTTGGAGTGGGTTTTGCAGTGCTCTAAAGTCTGAGTTGGTATTTATACCTGATAAGGTTAAAATAGACTCTGCTTTGTATGTGGAGAACATCATGGAGTCCTATCTGGTACCTTTCTGGCAACAGTGCTGTGAGGAGTATGGATAGGTCCGGGTGATAGAAAATGGACCCCCTGGTCATGAAAAATATGCCAGGGTATATACAGATTTGAATGAGGTAGATACTATTCAATAGTCAGCATAATCACCAGATTTGAATTTAATAGAGACCTTATGGATAGATATGGAAGCAGAATTGGGGGAGATATGGGGCCCAGTTGGCAATATACTACTTCAGGAGCACTTGAGGTGTAATGATCTACCTTCTGATAGTTAGTTCTTGGCGATGGAAAATGATACTTTTCTTCTCCTCTTCTTCTTAGCCTTCTGATAGTACTAGGTCTCTGCCTACGTTCCCGATAGTACAAGACTGTTGTCTTCTATGGGGAACGCCTATCATAAGCTTTCTCTAACTCTTCCTTGTTAAGAGTATTCTTGTCGTTATAGCAATACAGGTTGTGATAACGATAAAGAGCATAAAGGTGTTTTGTATTCGTTAGAGTAATAAATAGGAAAAGTACTTAGAAGTGAGTTTAATTTTATTTAAACTCATACTGCTAACACTGGCATATGACAAGCCCCCACCGGCACAGAGATACTACTAACTGGTTTACCACTAATCCCAAGCTAACTAAGTCTACGGCCCCTCACCTACAATTGCCGAGTTAGGCCTACATGAAGACTAATTACAAAACTATCAAACAACCCAGTGCCCACTCCAGTTCAAGTCCATAGCCCCTCTGGTATGAAGCCAACCAGCACTAAGCATAGCCAAAGCTGAGCAAAAGACCAACCCAACCAGGTTCCTTATCCAACAAACATAAAAATACTACCTCCCAATCTAAATACCGTCCCGCGAAACTTCTATTACAGTAGAAAATCTATAAAAGTAAACTAAACCTACAGGCGATACAATGGCAGAGAGGAGTCAACCAACATGTCCACCTCTCATGCCTGCATACCAGGCCATCGATCCTATGAATCCACTTTGCCAGTTGCCTCCAAAGAGCGTACTGGTAAGGAGAACCTATACCTGCTGCCTATTCCCCAAACAAAATAACACAAACAAAGGAAATACATAAAGATAGTAACAGACTAAAAAGGTCAGTCTGGCCTATCTCCTACCTGTCGTATCTTGCATCCTCCCGCCCTACCCAGTACTAAGCTAAAAAAGCTAAACAGATCCCACAAAATCCAGTACGCAAGACCCAAACAAGTCAAACCAGGTGGTCGCAATCCACTATCCGCACAGGTAGCCATCAGCCAGCTGGTCCATCAGGAAGTTTTGCAGCACTCAGAAGCTTCACCTAATAGTCCAAGCCAGACTGGAAATACTTAATTAGACCTCGCCCAACATGAGGCAGGCCTGACCGGTGCTTACAGATGTCTCTCCTCCCCCAATCAGCCCCCCTCAAGTCCCACACACCAGATGCCATGCAGCCCATCTAGCCCCCTCAGCTCCATAGACAGAACAACTATCTGACAGCCACAGGACAGCCTATACCGAGTGCTATCAAGCTACCACTAGTCTTGACCATACTAACTGAGCCCCAACCCATAACAACCTGTAGCTAAGAGGAGCCTACCAGCTATAGCCAGAAGCTACAATGGAGGTAGCATCAACACTTGAAGGTACCAGCACTAGCCACATCATCCAACCTAGCCGAACCAAAGTCTAACTGAGCTGGGAAAAGGTAAGCGGAGGTAGCTGAAGCCAGCCCCACAGGTCTGGCAACAGGCCCTGACCAAATGATGGGAAAGAGAAATTCTCAACCAATGCAACAGGAAGGAAGAGAGCGAGTGAATAGAAGCAGACAAACAGAAGATAGGTCCCACTTATAGTAGGTAAAGCCACCAACCACAATCTACAATCAAACCACCTAAATACACAGACAACACGAGTGTTCAGCAGCTAATTGTCCCATACCACCCCAGGCAGTAATGAAAAACCACACCACGGTGTAAGATTTTTCAGGGTCAAAGTCATTCCCACCGAGGTAAGAAGGAGATACCTGACTGAATCACCGTATATGCCGCAAGAACAAAAACTCCAAAGGAATGGTGATAAATAACATCATAGGATTCTGACCGTAAAAATATAACGTAATGAGAATAGGCCCAGCAGGGACTGCTCTGCTACCTGAGAAGTAATGTAGCTGGCACGACGAGTTGAGAACACGGGACAGTCATCAAGCGAACCCGCAGGCATTTTGTATCGTGAGAACTATGGACTCTATTAAACCCAACAAGAAACTTGAGCTGGCTCAAAGAATGACAGGGGTGATCCCCTTAAACACAATGTTCAATTCTCTCAATTGAACACAAAACCTGTCAGTAGATGATAGAGAGGAAACTGAAGATATTTTACAGAAGGAGGCTCACAAGTGAGCGTAATGAAGAGCTCAAAGTACCAGCATCATAAGATAACTAGCAGACAACAAAATGGTGCAAACAAGTCATCTGCAACGCAACTACCAATATAGACAGACTTAATACCAAGAATTCCAGGAACTACTGAGTGAACTCAGATATCTCCCCCAGAATCCAAGGTATTAAAGCCTATCGTGGACATGAAAAAACCACTACAGAGGCAGAGCGAAGGCTGGAGTAGGAAAAGTACTTAGAATTCAATCTAATTTTATTTAAACTCGTACCACCAACACTGGCATATGATGAGCCCCCGCTGGCACAGGGATACCACTAACCAGTATACTACTCAACCTAAGCTAATCAAGTTTATGGTCCCGCACCTACCATTCTCGAGTCATGCCCATACGAGAATCAATCATAAGACCATCAAACAACCCAGTGCCCTCCCCAGTCTAAGTCTGTAGCCTCTCTGGTATGAAGCCAACCAGCACTAAGCGTAGCCAAAGCTGAGCAAAAGACCAACCTGACCAGGTTCCTTGTCCAACAAATATAAAGACACTACCACCGGGTCTGAATACCATTCCACAAAGCCTCCTCCACAATAGAAACCCGCCCGAGTACCCACACTCAATGATCTCGGGACTCCCTGCTGACTACCTCGGTACCCATACCAATCTCTAAACAAAAGAAGCACCCAAAATCCAAGTGCATAGGCCTGAGGGAAATCTGACTTACACAGCGAGGGCTCCCTAGCCAAGCAGGTACGAAGCATCATCGAGAGTCTGGGGGGGCACCAAAGTAGCAGTACAATTCAAAAACCTTGGCGGAAGCATCCAGACTAATGTAGTCTCTGAGCCGTTGATACATGGCCAAATGTACCTAAGAATTTAAGTCCTCCTCCAACTCCTCAACTCTCTCTGTAGGCGGTAAACCTGCCACAGACTCTACAGCAGCCGGTTGGCAATAGTGAACTGGTGAAGGCGATGACCCTTCTGAGTCGGGGATAAGTGATACAGGTGAGGTCTGGTCTTGCTTGACCCGATGTGTAACCGGTACGGGTACTCGGTTATTGGTTTTGTTTTATGTTTTGTTTTAAGTATCGCTTTGATACTTGGTTTGTTTTAAGTATCGTTTGATACTTGGTTTTGTTTTATGTTTTGTTTTAAGTATCGCTTCGATACTTATTTAGTTTCACCAAAGTGTATCGATTGATACCTTTGATTAGTTTTGCTCATGCTAGACATAAACAGATTTGTGAATTTAAAGACCGCCTGTTTCTACGATAGA